ACGAAAATGACATGATACAAATGAAGCTTTGTGGAGATCATTTTTGCTGTCATACACGAGAAAGGTTGGGGACAGGAAGGCCAGCTAAGAAGCTGTTGCAGTAATTCAGGTATGACTGAATTGGTGATTAGCAGGGCAACAAAGGGAGCGCATCCAAGGGACATTTCGAGGGCAAGTGCGGTGGGACTTCTAATACTGGATATAAGAAATGAAGGAGGGGGAAGAGTCAAGGAGAACTTCCATAGTTTGCATATTTGGGGAAGAAATATGCTAATTTCATATTGAATCTTAAAGTTTATAAAGCATATAAGCTTGTGTATCTCATAATTGGTGCTTGGTCTTAAATATCAGTATTTATCATTAGCTTTTTTTTTTTCTTCAACATCCTATAGATCAGACTGGTCTAATAGAACTTTCTGTGATAATGGAAACATTCTACTGCACAGTCCAGTATGGCAGACACTAGCCACATATGGCCATTGAAGACTTGAAATATGGATTGGTCAGCTGGAGAACTGCCTTTTAAATTCTATTTAATTAAAAAAATTTTTTTTAATTGGGGTACAGTGTGTTTTTCCAGGACCCATCAGCTCCAAGTCAAATAGTTATTTCAATCTGTTGGGTTGTCAGAAAAGTCACGATGTATTTTTCCTGTTTTTCGTTGCAAAAATGCATCATGACTTTTCCGACAACCCAATAGTTGTGGAGGGCACAGCTCAGTGGCCCATGTGGGGATCGAACCAGCAACCTTGGTGTTCTGAGCACTGGGCTCTAACCAGTCGAGCTAATTGGAAGCCCCTAATTTAAATTTAGATAGCCACATGTGGTTAGCATCTATTGTAATGGACAGTGCAGCTCCAGATAAATTCACTGCCTTTCGTTCCTTTCTGCAACTTTGGTCTCTTTGAAGTTTCTGGCCTGGATATCTTACTCTCTGTTTGGAGCTGGAGAGAAGAAGAGAGGCCTTCACCAACATTGTGTATCTGAATGACATGAGCCTGATGGAAGGGGACAATGGTATGTAAATCCCAATTGGTTACTCTTGGTTGTAGTATTTTAGAGGTCACTCCAGACTTTTCTATAAAGAA